CACAAAGCCTCACCAATTTAAGGCCCTTATAATTGAAATCGTTGCGGTAGTTCTTTCCAATCACCCCGTTCGATTTTCTCCTACGTGTGCACTGAAATCTGCCATTATAATGGTGGATTCTTTGATCAATCCTGACATAGAGGACCTTCTGTGAGCCACGTTTGGTCCTACCTAAGCGCGTTTCATGAAGTCTACACCTGAGTAGAATGTCTCTCATCATCACAGGCTGACGGTTTCTGAGAAGCTATATCCAGTCGGTAGATTTTGGCCCCACCAATTAGCTGCTCATCTTTCCTTCTAAATGATGAGATATTACAAATTCTGATTGTGCGTTCCTACTGTCATATGAAACCTTATCTGACGTGCCATAATGGCATGGTTCAGGCAACTTGCTCCTCCATTTGACACGGGTGGCGGCTTTTTCACCGACTCGAATCTTCGTCTTCTTATTGGGCACTTGGCCAAGATTTACGGTAGACACGCCGCGGACCCTCCTCCCTGCTCCTTTCTCATTCGGTTTTGGACTAGGCAAAGGCGGAGTTTCATTTTGTAGTAGTAGTAGCGCTGTCAATAATTGCAAAGTGAAGAGGGGTCTCGGTGCTATGCATTTGACTAATTCTGACCTGGTTTCTAAAAGGACTTCTTTACAAGATAAGTCACCTCTTCTTCACCTCCTGTAGTGCCGCGGTGCACATGAAAACGCTGAAAAATGGGCAGCCAATCCGTGAAACTGCTACTGTATTCACGATAGCGTGATGATATGTTAGAAATTATGGTATGGGCAATCTGCTCTTTAAATGGCGATGGCAACGCGTTCAGACCACTGTAGCAAATTTGATCGGAATTAGATGTAATAGTTAACGCGCGATTCACTGACTAAAATTGGAATTGGAATCTGTCACTTGGCAAAGTAAACGGTTATTTGCTGTCTGTCCCAACGTTATTAACCAGTTTTATATTTGCGACAGACTGTTTTTGTTTTCAGAGAGAAGAATTGGCCATCCATATCAAACCAGAGCACCGCCTAAGCACAAGAAGGCTCGCACATCGTTCTCCAAATATCAGATCGCTGAACTTGAAAGAACTTTCCTTGACCAAAAGTACCTTGCCTCAGCGGAAAGGGCGGCGCTGGCCCAAACTCTGCACATGAGCGATGCCCAAGTAAAGACGTGGTTTCAGAACCGCCGAACGAAATGGAGGTTAGTTTCTAGGAACCTATCTGAAATATGCTGTTTTCGTGACAATGCTTGTTACACTCACTGCTATATAATTGCCACGTGTTATACATGCAAGTATATACGGTCAACCGTTGTCGATATGAGGAACAGTGACTAGGAGAATTGCTGTTCTCCTCTTTCCACATCTGACGTGAGGAGCTCGAATTCCAATGATGCGTAGAGTTTTGTTGTTAAGAGCAAATTTATTTGAGCAAAGAATTGATAAACACTTAGCGCATGAACCAAAGAAACAGCAGAGAATATGAGTGTATTCATGTCATGTCAGAGCATATATGTTGCACCCATCTTTGCCAATGCAACTTGCTTTGATCCACTTTGTTACTGACAGCATAAGAGTTAGCCGTAAATACAGAGAGGAAATTTTGGTAAAATTCGGCTAAGGGTTTTTACCAGCAACAGTTATTGTCAGCTGGATGAGGATTTACCCCATGAACGAAAACCTGAGCAGGCTCTGACGTAATCGCGTTGCTGTTATGCTTGAATAAATGTAGGGTACCAAATGATCAGTGTTATCAGTACAAACGTTCATATTAAAGTGCACTAAAGTAACGCATAGGTCATCCTAGACTAGGCTTAACGGAGTACTGTCTGTAGTTGCCTAGAGAGACCATTTAAGCAAACCACAGATCAATGGTATTTGATCACCTGCAGTGCCAGATGCATCTCGCATCAATTTGTTCGCCAGCGCTCATTATGAACGATGTTTCAGAAACTAGTACTCCTTATATGCTACCGTATAAATTTGAAAATTTGTTCCTACACAGGAGCATGTCAAATAACGCTAATCTCCTCCAAGACCAGATACCACGGTGTTTTACCTGGCCCCCTTCCTTCAGCTAGCACTGAGCTATCATTTCTAGTCAGAAATGCGACCATGCATACAAATATTCATCAATTCATCAGATACATTGGTCACTGGCCTTGCATAGCAACCGAAATCTACAGTCTTATTTAACCTGAAGAAGACTCATACTTCGCAACTGGTCTATTACCCAATAGACGAATATTTTTTGTTGTTGTACATGATCAAGCTATCTGTGTGCTGTTTTCTCAGCATCAAATTTCGATGCGTTAGGCTTCACCTTTGTCCTACCGTAACAGTCAAATATCTGTTTCAGGCGTCAAAGCGCAGAAGAAAAGGAACAAGAGAGGAATACGTCGTACAAATGTCTAAACAATTCGTCGTATTCGTTCGCCAATGTCAGCGGCTCGCCATACTTTGCACGACCAGATGTTACTATTTGAAATTCCTTGCCGTTCCATCCTTTGGCAATAGCAGGTCTTCCGGATCTTTTCGGACCTTCGATCCTTGTTTTGTTTGTTATTAAACAGTCGTGTGTTCCTATTGTTCACTGCCGGGGTGAAATTCATTTTTTTGGAAGGCACGTGACGAGCGAGCGACGTTTAAAAAACTTGCTTATCAACAGTGAGATCCGCTGAGCCATCGCTCTGAATCAGCAGGCAACACCTCAGAGACAGAAGTCGAAAAAACCTTAAAAAAATACATTATGGACTTATAGCCGAGTGCGCATCAAATGGCAACATTGTCATGTGCTCACAAGCCCACAGCAACACTTAAAATTACGGTATTTCTAAATGTAATAGGTATATTATTGGCAATAACATAAAACATGATGAACAAGTATATTCAAATATATGAAAGGAACAGGAAAATGTTGTTTAAAGGCGTTGGAAACATGCGTCTACGCATTTTAAAATCGAATGCTCCTTTCGGGTTGTGGACACCAGAAACCTAATCGATTTTCAGTGACGTGGCTTTCTTCAATTCGGATAGTCATCAATGCTTCGACTCTATCAGACAATCGAATGAGATCCAAAGTCACCCATAATATATTGATGACGTGCAAAAAATGCATTGAACAATCATATAGGAAGGTGGCATTTAAAATTAGGAAGTGGCTAATGACTCCGGGGCATCGCACCGCTACAAAAGCCTCCTCCCGTATCGTCGATGCACTCTGCAGCCTTCTTGTGGAGGTCATAAGAAAATTCTGCCGTTCATGCAAAGTTAACATGAATCAACATGGCTATTTCTCGAAAATTGAGTTCAACAATGCCATTCTGGTTTCAAGGACAATGTCTGCGCTTTTCATCATAAACTGTCAGCTGATGTGATTAAAATAAATCAGTTGGAGCTAAATTCCATATGCAGTAAATTTCTATCGCAAAATCATATTTCTGACTTGTGGCGTGTTAAACGGATCATTTCCATGCTTGAATATGATCGATTGATGAGTCTGGCTGAGTGAAGGTCAGTATAAATACTTAAAAACGACTTTAAACGATTGAGCACCTAGTTTATGATTACATTTGTGAAGGAGTGAGCCTCGAGTTGGACAAATTTTAGCTTGCTTATTGAAGAGGAGGAAGCAGATTTGAAGCCATGGCAACTCTTACTAATGATATTCTTCCGTAAATTCGCCGCATCTCTTACTAATAGTATTATCTCACATCCTGACAAAAGGGCATACACGGTTCGTGTAACTTTTCTTGACTTAAAGACAAGTTTTAATTTTGTTCCAAGGGACTGACTGCTCACAACCAGAGTAAATCTTTCATTTTGCACCGAACGTCCTTTGTGAAGGTTATTAAAGTTACTTCACCTTCAAAAGAGAGCAATTTTTGAGTGTTTTGTGACTTTGCTCTATAATCTACTCCTTTTCAGTATTCATACAAACTGACTTCGTCGTAGTGGATGGGTTATCTGCTTCAGGTACCCAGATAAAAGAGACTTCTGTCCCCTTAAAATGAATGCTGACTTCAAGCGACACAAAAGAGCTGTGGCAAGCAACTGATAATCCTCGAAAACAGAAGTGCTGCAGAGCTCTACGAAATTAGTGAATGAATCTTCATTACGCGTGGTACACAAGATCAACTAATCGGTTACATATTCAAAGTCTATTAGCATGAGAACTGATAAAGTAAACAAAAGTAAAAAGTATAAGAAAAGTAAACTATTAAAAGTAAAGTTTGCATTTGATTATAAACTAGCATTCAATGCTCTGTCAGCCTTCCAGGAAGTTCAGTGTATATCCTGAGACTCAGAGCCTACAGAGAGTGATCCGGCGAGTTTTCAGAGAACGAGCAGAAAAGGTTTATCGACGTTGCATTCTTCCTACGAATATTTTCGCCGGATCAGTGAGATTCCTGGCGACTAGTCCCAAGCGAGCATCGAAGAAGGCGTAAAACACACACCTGTGAATGAAATTTCAATTTTTAAAATAAATCACTTATATACAGGTCTGTTCCACGCTGGCAAACAATTTAGTTCCTGCATCTGTGGTCATACTGTAAAACGGTATCACACGACTTATTAATACACAGCATAATAAATAACATAGTGAGCTGGATAACTGAATAGTACCGACGTTTTAACCTCTGTCTGGTGAGAATTTTCCAAGGCTTTCGAACTTCATTTTTTGAAAAAGCTCGTGAAACACGAGCCGAAACATCGGCATTGGTCAGTCGTCGAATATTACCTTTTGCGTTGTGCATTAATAAACCAAGTATTGTGTTGTTTCATCGTTTCGCTCCTCACGATGCCAATAATGATCATATGTCCGTGATGAGTAAGTACTGATCAGTTGTGTTATTCGAGTCAAATTTCAGGTGTGCAGCGTGAGAAATACTTAGGAAGAATATGGTTCTTTGGCGTCTTTGATAAACAGAATGATCAAATTAAATGTGGTTTAATTAAATGATGTACAGCAAACAATGGACAGAGCAAAAAACAATGATCTACTCATAAATTTAACGTTGCGGAAGATTGTGAGTTGAGCGATGGGCACAACACGCAAATACATAATGTAAAATGACCTGTGCATGTACGTAAATCGTATCAGTGGAAATTGAAACAGATTTGCATGTATAGTCATATATGTTACTTAAGAAACTTGTGCTTATTTCTTGTTGTGCCTATTTCACACACTGCCGGAAGCCTTCACGCGGCAATGGAGAACAAATTACAAATATACCTGTTTTCAAAAATCAGTTGTTTATTCCACAGCACAGAACGAACGCGAATAAGTGAACGTCATCAACAAGAGACGTTCTACTTATGAAAACCGTTGAAATTTAAAATATCATCAAACAAACCATACCCAGCAGCTTGACTTTCGCACAGTTGCGTGTGGCTAACCATTCGCATGAAAACTCCACACTCTTTCTGCTGGTACTCAAAGATACAACCAACAAACTATAGCATAGTGGAATAGAGCAGATATCTTTAGGCGATGTACAGCAGGTCAACAGCGGCCTAGAGCGTTCATTTTATGGCTGAAGGGTCTTCGGTTCTTAACACACGCTCAGCTAAAGACGATATGAACGATTTCTGAATTTCGTCATCATTCTCAAATTGAAAAGGCCGGCGAAACACTGGCTCCAATATCGATGGTGGTAACTCACCCGATTGGTAAAAGTCCATGGGCTATATGTGAACAAACCATTTCTTAATTTGTTTTTCAGCAAATACATATGATCGATAACTGATTTGTTTTAAAGTCAGCGATTCTCTTTGGGTAGCGGTGACAGATTCTTTATCATACCAAGATTCGAATTTGTGACTTGAATTCGAAGATTCGACAAAGCCAAATCTTTATAATTAAAAAACCTTGCCATCAACCTAAAATGACACCGTGGATTTGAAGATTTCGTTTGTTATAGCCTTGATAATTTCAAAATACTGATCCGCTTGATAGGGTTCCACTTTCACATCTATAGTTTCGTCTTTTCCATTTGTTCAAATGTCATTACTAGGTTATGATATCATACATTGTAACATTGCGTTCTTTAAAGAAAATGTGACTGATTGATTTGGCTTCATGAGCGTAAACGTTTTTTTGCCGATTTCAGTAAATGCCGACCTTAAATATAGATAATCTTTGATTTTTTAGATAGTCGAATGTTAGCAATCATTTTAAATAACGGCATTGCATGCACACTCTTTTTCTACACCGCGTAAAACGTAAATAAAGTTTATAAAACAGTAAATATTTTGTCTTATTACACATATCTAATTGCAAGCGTTGCAAATTTGCAAGCTGCCACGACCGTGGATATAGCGGCTATGTACTAGGC